GTTTAATTATTTAAAATACCAGAATAGGACATCCAGTTGTTTTAAGACTACCATTTTCTTTGATATTGAAAATAAATAAACATTATTATTTAAAAGAATATAGGTATATAATTATATGAATAAGATAATAATATTAAAATAATTATGAAAATAATAATGTAAACATATAGAATTAAAATATAAATAAACAATGAGTAAAATAAATAAAATTAAAATTAAATATAAAAAGTAATAAAACTTATAATTAAAATTAGTGACTAAATTATGACATATCAAGATTAAATGCTCTAGTTTGAAATATTATGAAAACTAAGTGTTACTAATGTAATTAATCCTTAATTAATTAATTAGAGGTCAAAATAAAAGTTATTAAAGTTATAAGGACTAAATACGGTATTTACCCTAAATATATATAAGTATACAGGCTAGGACTAAATTATAAACTAAATAAAATCGAAAAACCGAATTAAAATGATTTAAATTTAATTTCAGTGATTATAATGAAAAGTTACAAAACTATGGTGGCAGCAGGTATAGATTACCCACGAGAGAAATTACAGATATACCTCTCCCCCAAAACGACGTCGTTTGGGAGGGTTATTTAAATATCCCAAACGGCTGGCCCGAAGGGCCAACCCCTCATTTCTTCCTTCTCTCTTCTCTCTCTAACTGAGAGAGTTTAATATTCTCTCTCGCCTCTCTCTTCAAATCCCTCATCGGAGGGATTAGAGTTCCGGCCGGTAACCGTGCGCCGGTGCCGACCACCGCCACCGGCCACCGTCAACGGTGGCCGGAATTTTTTTTTAAAATACCCTAGGATATAAATCTCACTGTTCTAAGGCCGAATCCGACATCTATTTTCCCCAAAAGTCACTGGAATTTCCTAGATCTAAGAAAATACCTTCGATATTTTCGGTACTTCGGCGAGGTTTGGAGTTCTCCGACGAGGTAAGTTCTTCTTTCTCTTTTCTCGGATGATGGTTGATTTGTGTTGGTGTGGTTTTGCTCCCCTCCTTGCTCTCTCTTCGTCTCTATCTCTCCTTTTTTCTCCGATTCTTCCTCTCTGTCTTCTTTTATTTTGCAGGTGTGGTGGCTTTTATAGCCACCACCGAGGCTTTCGTCAGACCGGTCCCTTAGGAGGCTTTCGGTGAGTCACCATAACTATGGTGGTGACTCACCATAGAGCTCGACGTAGGGTGATGACGAGGTGCTTCTGGAGGCTTCGATGGGTGGCGTGGCACTGACGGCGGCGTGGCAGCAGCTGAAACGTCAACGTGGAGGTGGCGGCTGAGCAGAGGCGGCGGCTGGCCTTCTGGAATCTTGGAGGCGGCTGGGGGGCTAGGGTTTGAAAGCCTAGCATGAATGATACAAACCCTAAAGGGTTTGGGTTATCTGTTTGGGCCTGGATTGGTCTGGGCCTCCAAGATTTGTAAAACGGGCCTCCGGGTCTTGGGCTTGTAATAATATATTTAATAATAATAATAATAATAATAATATTTATAATAATAATAATAATTTTATTAATAATAAACGAAAAATTAGTGTTTACAATGAGTACAAATCAACTTATAATCATGCAGAAAAACAAACATAATGAAGTATATAAAGCTACTACTGTGGTCCCAGAACTCTCATAGAGTTAGATATGCAAATAGCCAAATTAGAGGTCTAAGGAGAGAGTCACGTCTACTATCGTTAAGACTGATGTCTTCTATTACGCCCTTAAATCAAACAGGCAAAGAAAAGAGAAAACGTAAAATTTTACATCTTCAACTGCTCAATGAAGATAAAGAACAGAAAATCAGAACAGAGACAAAACTACCGTTGAAAACAAGGGCACAACAATCTCCTTCAATTCAACAATCTCCCGCTCACGCTTTGCAAATGTTACAAAAAATGCAGCTTCTTTTTCCTTGGCTTTTTCGAGCTGAAAAATAAGAAGAAACATGTAAGTCAGTACGATAGATCAGAATAGTTAATGCAGAAAAATACAGTGAGAAAATAAGCACATCAGATTCTTACTTGTTCCTTCAGTGCCTCCTCGGAGGATTTCAGAGTTTGAAGATAATTTAGTACTAACTTAGGTTCTACAGAAACCGAACAAAAAATTGCTTCATCAAAAACTAGTACAAATAAAATGATCTATATTTAATAAAACTTCTAACTGGAAATGCTGATACCGATCTTAATTTATGAAAATAAATATGGGAAAACTACATGAAAAGAGATGCCAGGAGCTATTCCAGCTGGTATGAAGGGCTCATTCTGAAACGCAGAATGACATTTCTGAATCTCAGATTTTACATCTTCAAGCTCCGACTAATACAGAAAATATCATAAAAATAAATTGAAATAAGAAGAGGTAAAGAGGAGAAAAAACTGATCACAGTTTAAGACTAAATCTAAGAAAGCTCAAGTAATTAGTACTAAATTCTTCAACCATGAAACTTATTCATGGACTAAGCTAATTCCACATGCCCATATGAAATATCATTTCAAAGTTAAAGCAACAGAAAGAGCTAACAAGTCCTAAACACAACTTCCCATTCTAAACCTATTAAAAAGAGGAAAACCATAAGTTAAGCAACAGACTGAGGGGGAAAGGGGTTAGATTAAGGAAACACACACTAAAGAGTACCTGAAGATTGAGCCTTGAGGAGAGACGATGGTGATCAGAGGAGCGACAATGGTGACCGGAGGCGCGATGATCCGGGCACCGAGTTGGAGAAGATGTTGTATACCAAAATGAGGAAGAAGAAGTTCTAAAGATGTTGAAATGAAATTATGGATCGGGGAAGAGGTTGACATATATTAATACTTTTGCGGCGTTTCTCCAAAAACGCCGCTAAAGTACGCATTTTGTGGCAGTTATCTACAAAATGCCACTATAGTACGAGTTTGTAGCGACGTTTCTTTAAAAATGCCACTAAAGTACGCGATTTTACGGCGTTTGTTGAAAACCCCCACTATAGATGAACCCTATTGCATCGTTTTTATACAAATGCCGCTAAAGTACTATTCTATTACGGCATTTTATACAAGCGCCGCTAAAGTAATACTTTGTCACGACGTTTGTTAAGAAACGCCACTATGAATGAACCTATTGCAGAGTTTGTATAAAAAACACAACTAAAGTATAACTCTGTTGCGGCGTTTGTTGAAAAAAGTCACTATAGATGAACCTTATTATGACATTTTTATACAAACGCCGTTAAAGTTACCATTTGTGGCGTTTGGAATGTAAACGCCGCTATGTGTTTAAAGTTAGTGATGTTTACTCTCAAAATATCGCTAAAAACACTATTGTAGAATAGTTTTGTTGTAGTTATCATATGGTGATTAAAATACAAATGGAGCAAATTTGGGGGTTAAAATTAGAAACTATGCCCACATTAAACCATGAAACATTATAATAACCATATTCCAAACATTAATGTTAAGATAAACCCATACATTTGATTTAAATAAAAATAAAATCTAAAATGATATGTCAAAATAAAATGGTTAAATTTTGGGATTAAAACACAATCCGGAAAAATTACAAGTTAAAAAATAAAAACATCAAGAAATTAAAGATAACAAAATATGGGACCGAAATGAAATGCGTGAAAATATGAAGGACAAATTCAAAATCTTGAAAATACTTGACCCGGGGACCTCAACGCAACACTATGAAGCTAAAGGGACTCTTGCACAATTAACTCTAACTAACCGGCTACTCCCAAAACGCCGTCGTTTTAGTGGAAACATATATATAGTGGGTAAAGATGAAACCCTAATCCCATTTTGCATAATTTTTTATTATAAAAATTCTCTCATCACCGGAGCATCTCTCCTCATTTTTTTTCACCCTCAGCAAAAGAACAAGCTGCCACCGTGCTTCTCCACTCCGGTTGGCTCCGATAAGGGTTGCAGAGACTACCCAGAAGCCTAAATGACACGAAAGCTTCCCCCTTTTACTCAACAGTAACCCTTGAGAGAACGCTACCACCTCCCTTGGCCATAAATCAGCCAACCCATGCTACGACCACCACCAGCGGTGGTCGGGTTAGACAAAACCTAGACCTATACCTAAAAATTGACTTCTCTTCTACCCCAAAACTCCCAAAATCAACACATGCAAGCTTAGATTCGACCCCTCATCTTCTACCTTTAACTGCCGAAAGGCTCAACCTTTTTGCTACCTCGACGACTGACGACCGACGGGACCGAAGCAAAACCCAGGTAACGAGATCTACCCTTCTGCCTCTTTCTATTATTTCAAAACAACACATGCACATCAAAGAAACTCAAAAAATTGGAAAAAAAAAAGACTAAGGATATCTTGGAAAAAACGGAAATGTTTGTCTTGGTTTTCTTTTGATTTTGAAAAAGGCTCTCTCTTTACACTTGTTTCTTGGTTTATCGAATAGGAGAAGCCTTTCTCGTGGTTTTGTTCGAGGGATTTTGTAGTGATCTTAGTGTTAGATATAGAGTTATTATAGCTGCCTATAAGTTGGTAGACTAAGTAGATATGATCAATTGACAGTTAGTTTAGTTTTGATGGTCACGTGAATTTGTTAGAAGTCATGTCAAAAGATTATGATTTTCAAGTTGTCAATTGGAATATGTTAATACAGTAGGTCCTTCATTCTCTTTTGATATATTTCATGAAAATTTTGGACCAATACTTCATAATTGCTACAATAAAAAATAGGAATACGTGTGTTATGTCATGTGATGGTTTCAACTCTCATTTTAATATATTAAATAAAAAATTTAAACAAAATATGAACTCGTAAATATATTAGATCATCAAAACACATAGAAATTTAATCAAAATATATACAAATTTATGTTCTAACAATAAATATTTAATTTAATCGTTAAGAAATTTTGACTAAATTGTTGAGACATGATATATTGTGATATGTGAAATATATTATTCAATTTTAAGAGAAAAAAGTCACCATGATCGATGTATTGTTTTATTCAATTTTTAACAAACACACTTCATCCATACTTCAATATATTACACAAACTACAAACACACACAAACCTTAATTATACTTGCTATAACTTTTTCAATCACACATACTTTGTCAATAAGTTACACAAACTACAAACACACGCAAACATTAATTATACATTTTATTTGTTTCCTCTTGGAACTAGATACATTTTATTTGTTTCCTCTTGGAACTAGATACATTTAGTAGCCCAAAACACATACACCTTGTTACCAATATGCTCCAGCTTTCCATAATATGCATGCCTCCATGACCTGATGAAAAACAGGGGAGCCACTACTCCCCAAAATCCCATTACAAACCCAACAACCATACTCACATAAAACCCGTTCACTTTACTTCTTCCACTGTTTTCTCCATTCTTTGAAGCATCAGTAGGAACACCTTTAGTGCTGCAGCTTTTACTCACAGGAGGCCCGCAGAGATGATTGCCCATGAAGGAAGAGTTTTCAAAGCTTTGAAGCTGAGTAGCTGTTGGGATTTGTCCCGTCAGGTTGTTGTAGGACACGTTGAAGTGATTCAAGAAGTTCAAATTTGAGAAACTTGAAGGGATTCCACCATGCAAATGATTCATCGACAAATCAAGTGATTCTATCAACTTCAAGTCGCCAATGCTGTCTGGTATATTTCCTGTTAGGAGATTCCTTGAAAGATTTAATGACAGTAGCCCAATGAGAGTTCCAACTTCTTTTGGGATTTGTCCTGTAAAACTATTAGCTGAAAGGTCTATGCTTGTAACAAGTCCCAGTGTGGTACTATACAAGTCCTCTCGCCCTTTCAGAACCAATGACGCACTCATCAAAAAATGGATGGTTTCTGTATTACTATAGAATGTTACCCCTTCGTAATAGTGCTCACTTTGTTTTTCTTTAATGGCCATTGCACTTAAATTTCTCAAACATTTTGGAATAGCTCCTGAAATGTCGTTGTGTCCAAGGTCCAAGATCTGAAGAGATTGAAGTGCGCAAATTTTATGAGGGATATGCCCAACAAAGTTATTTGACCGGAGGCTTAGTACCATAAGGTTAGAGAGCTTGTCACAAATCCATGCAGGTATTCTTCCACTGAAATGATTTTCACTGAGATCAAGAAGAACCAAATCCCTACAACTTCGCAAAGTGGAGGGTAATTCTCCAAACATGCTATTGTTCCGAAGGTTTAGCATTTGAAGACTTGCATCTCCCAAAGATGGGATTCTTCCTGTCAAATTGTTGTTTCCCAAATTTAAGATCCCTAACTTCTTCCAACGATTCCAGCAATCCGGAATTTCTCCAGAGAGAAGATTTGTATCAATGTGAAGAACAGACATTGATGTCACTGATGAATTGCAAACAAATTCAGAAAGAGATCCTGAAAATAAATTCCTTGAAAGACTAAAAAATGGGTCTGGAAATGCATCATAGAATTGGTTTGACAAAAGTCTTGGCAGCGGACCAGAGAATCGGTTTGAACTCAGGTCGACAATGTTTCCTACTGTCAAATATGGAATCCCTCCAGTAAGTTGATTAGAGGAAAGATTTAACATTTGAAATTGAGTGGAGAGGTTCAAAAACCAAGTGGGCACGACGTCCGCTATTCCCGCATGAGAGAGATCTAAAGAAAACAACTTCTTTTGGAACTTCAACCAATGGGGAAACTTGGGGCCAAGATGCCAATGACTCAATAGGATCATTTCACATTGAAACGGAGGAATCCAGCTTGTGTTTGGTTCAAATCTCAACTTGTTTTCGGATGCAGACAACGTTGACAACTTTGTGAGATTAGAAAAATGAGTTTCTGATACATCTCCTTCCATTTTATTTTTCCCAATATTTACAACTTCTAAATTTTTCAACTGTCCAAAACTTGGAGGAAGAGGACCATTTAATTTATTTTTCCAAATATCTAGAGTTTCTAAATTTGCCAATTTTCCAAAATTTGGAGGAAGAGTACCATTTAATTGATTTTCTGAAACATCAAAGACCTTCAAAGATGATAACTCTCCTATCGACAATGGAATGGGACCAGAAATGTTGTTTTTAGCAAGGTAAAGATAAGCTAAAATTTTAAATTGCCCAAGTTTATGAGTTAAATGGCCAGAAAGTTGGTTATCTGCCATACTCAATGACTCTAAGCTCTCCAAACCGCATTTAGACAGACTCTGTAGGATTTCTGATACGTCTTGCTCAATTCCATTAGATGACAAATCAATATCCTTCAATTTGCAAACATCTCCCAAAGAGGCTGGTACTTTTCCTTGCAGCTCATTATATGAGAGCTCAAGGTGAGTAAGAGAGCTCAAGTTTCCAATTGCATTCGAAATTTCACCTTGTAAATAGTTACCAGTAAGACCAAGGGATTGAAGATGGTTTAAACTATACAAGGAGATGGGTATGGATGAATTGAGCGAGTTGAAACTAAGATCAACAACTTTAAGAAACGACATGTTCCCAAAGTAATCTGGAATTGGGCCTTCCAAATAATTTCCTCTAAGATCAAGCGACACAAGACCATGAACACCAAATATCCACATTGGAACTGAAGATAATCGGTTCAAAGAAAGATCAAGAACAACTAATGATTTGTTAGAATTAACAATGCTGATCGGAGATGTATCATCTTGTAACATGCAACCAGACAAGTGCAACTCTAACAAAGAAGGAAGATTGGATATTGTTACCTGCAACCAATCAGTTGCCTTACCAAGATGAACGCCACTCAAATCAAGATACCGTAAAGAAGAAAGTCCAGAAACCCATTGAAGACTTTTCACTTCTTCCGAGAAATAATTACCTCCGAGGTCGAGATACTGCAACTGTGAGAGATTCCCAATGTTACGAGGAATGGCTCCCAGGAATAGTGTTTGGGAGAGGTTAAGATATGTTAAACTCCCCAGCAAACCCAAAAACTCAGGGATTTGAATGCTTCGAAAATCGTTATTGCTCAAGTCAAGCCAATTGAGATGATGCAACTCCAGCAGAGAAGGATTGATTTTTCCTCCTAGAGCTGAACGACCGTAACTTTGCCGTCCGTCAGGAGGAGACAAGAGCAGTTGGGTGACGTGACCTGTTGTGTTATGGCAAACAACATCATTCCATTCACAGCAATCCCCACCTTTAACCCAGGAAGATAGCCTGTTTGAGGGATCGATCAGATCATTTTTCAACTTCAAAAGAGCGTCTCTCTCACTTCCAATGCAAAGCACATTGGAATTGCCATGGCAGAAGCTAACACAGGCAGCTGCAATAAGAAGAAGAAATGGGAATAAGGATATTGTAAGAATTGTCATGGTTGCAATTGCATTGTAGTAACCTTTTCTAGCAACTGCAAATATATAGAGTCATGCTAAAAATAATATGGCAGACAGCACGCGCAAGGAACTTTCACTTGAATAAAATAAATTCCACTAAGTCAAGTCAACTAAGAGAGAAGAAATTCCACTAAGGCAAGTTAACTAAGTCACTGCCAAAGAGGTCAAGTCAACTAAGTCAAGTAAACTAAGTCTACGGAATAAATTCCACTCCTACGGCATGGCTATCCAACTAAGAGAGAAGAAAATAAAATTACATAAAGTTTGAAATTTATTTCATAATTTAATTATTAAAAAATTTAATTTATTTATAACTTCGATATTAAAATTTTAAGTATGTTTGATAATTTATAGTTAAAATTATTTATTATATATATATGCAATTGCAAACAGGTGGATTGATGTTGAAGTGGTGAGAAAAGCAATGAAGAACAAGGGAATGAGGAAAGAACCAGGGCCTGGAATCAAAAAGATAAATGTTATGGTATCTGACATGGGAAACAAGTTAAAGGAGGCAGAGTACAGAGCAGACACTTCTGCATTCCTGAAAAACATAGACGAGGAAGAGAGAGAGACCGCATTTAACTATCACAGTGAGAAAGTGGCAATGGCTTTTGGCCTCATTAGCACAGCCCCAGGGACTCCAATTCGGGTTGTTACAAACTCTGAAATCTCAGAGTTTGTAACGATTGTCACACTGCAAATAAGTTGATGTCTAAAATAAATCAGAGAGTAATAATAGTACGTGATCGAAAGCGCTTTCACCACTTCAGAGAAGGAACCTGTTCCTGTGGAGATTACAGGTAGCACTACAGTTGAGCATGTATGTTTCAAGAACACAGTGAAGAGATGTGCAGTACAAAGTAAATGGAAGGGAGATTGCAATTCAGTATGTCTGTCTGTTTTTCACCTGTTATTAAAACTGCAGTCATTGTGTAGACACCTATTTTTTTCGGATCTATAAAAATATTATATTATATTATATTATATTATTTATTTATTTATTATTATTATTATTATTATTATTATTATTATTTATTTTTTATAGACCCCATGTTCAACCAACTAAACCACTAAATACCCACTAAACCATTAAATACCCACTAAACCACTAAACACCTAACTACCAACCCCACCCACCACCTAGCACGTCTCTCCTCAAAAATGAAAGTGGGGTCTTTGGCTGCCTATTTAAAATCAACTTTTGACTTTTACGGGGACTAATAACAAGGCAGAAAAGGAATTGAAGGGAAGAGACCATCGGTTTCAGGTGGACCTTTGTATTCTTGAACGTTCTTCCCTCCATTTCTCAAAATTTTGAGTGTGGGGTAACCCCTGACATCATATTCACTTGCTAAATCTCTGTTTGCTTCCTCATCGGCATCAACTTTAGCTAGAAAGACTGGAGGGTCGTGTTTACTCAATATGGATGCTGCTTTCTCATACTCGGGAACAAGATGCTTACAGTGACCACACCAAGGAGCGTAAAATTCGACGACCATAAAATTGTGCTTACTAACAGTTTCAGTGAAGTTGGTGTGATCCAAAATCAAAACGAACTATTTTTCTTCCGATTCAATGCTATCGTCGGCTGCTATCGCCAATAAAGAGCATAAGATTTCGGCCATGGTTGCGCTCATAGCTAAGCCGGCAGCTACTGAATTAACCCACATCAAATACTGTTGTGAAGTGAGTAAACCGACCGAACTGCTCTTCACTCTGGTCATCAACAATCTCGCATATGCCCAGGATTTTGTTTCCATCGAAAACATCATGGAAAATCTCAAACGCGAAAAAGCTTGTCGTTTATCCGGTGATTTCTTCTAGAATGTGGTTAAAAAATATGGGCACGTCAGAGGTCGAATCATACGGACGATCGATTTTAGTATGCCGGAACAATGGACTTGGCCTGGTGTAAAGACCTTCAATGTCGTATTGAGCTTACTCGTGAATAATAAACTCTTTGATGTTGTTCACGAGGTTTATGTGAAAGCTCCCGATTTAGGTATTGAAATCGAAGTTTGTACTTTGGATATTTTCATTAAAGGGTTGTGCAAAAATGGGAAACTGGAGTTTGCATTCCAACTACTCGATTAATTTCCTAAACAAAGGTGTAAGCTGAATGTTAGGACTTATACGTTAGTGCATGGGTTGTGTGAGAAGGGGAAGGTCGAAGAAGCAATCTGTTTTTTTAGGTGAGAGTGCAAATGAATGGAAAAGCCACATGATTTTGAACCATTGGTAAATTCTACATATGGTCCTTCAACCATTATGGGTTTTATCTTATTTTATTACTTTTATTTTTTATTTTATTTATTTTATTTTTTTTCTTTGATTTATTTAATATTTATTTAATACTTTTTATCTAATATTTTTTTGACCTTTTAGGAGATTTTTTTATCGATCAAAGTTAAGCAATTTGAATCGGGTTTTTAAATTTTAATTTTTCGCAATTAAAGACAACCGACAAATTAATTGATACCGAAAGGGCAGTTCAAGGGTGCTAATCATTCCTTGACTGTAACCGACTCCCGAGCCCGACATATTTCTGGTAAGATGCAGATTAGGTAAAAATCGAGATATCCGATCAACTCTTTTTATTTTTAAAATAAATAATCGGTGACGACTCTAATCCATTTTATTCAAATCGAAGCCCAATTTTGAGCCCAACCAAAAGACGACCGCGACACATTGGATCTGCACTTGATGTACTGAGCCCAGTAAAGATATTTTTTGAAGAATTTAAACCAACTGAAGGAAACATGATGGAAAGTAACCAAGTATCGTGAATTCTTTCGATTAAAAAGGTTCCAAACTTGAAGAGTATTACATTCAGATTAACAGATGATCAATCAATGATTTCAAATTGCTTTCTTCATAAGAGTTTGTCGTTACCGTCTTTCGGGTAGGCCCGGAATCGAGCTTCGACTTAAAATATATTAGAGCCGCCACCGATCATTTTTTAAAGAAATTAGGTTGACCAGACACCTTAATTTACCCTCTTGTCTGATATGCGTTTTATTAGAAATATGTCGGATTCGACAATCGATTACGGTCAAGAAAGGATTAGCATATTTGTACTGCCCGTTCGGTACCAATTTAATTTATCAGTTGTCTTAATTACGAAAATTAAAAGTAAAATTGAAATTTAAATATTCGATTTGAATTGATTATCTTTGATCGATTGAAATTTACTCCTAAAAAGTTAAAAAATGTTAGATTAAGGAAAAAAGGGTTAAATTAAGAAATCAAGAAAAAAAGTTTAAAAAATGTTAAGAAAGAAAAAAATGAAATAAAATCAATAAAGTGAAAAAATATTAAATCTTTTTTAAAAAAGAAAAAAATAATAATAAAATAAAAGGAGGAAAATATTAAATTTTGAGAGAAATAAAAAATATAAAAAAATGCTAAAAGAGAAATTAAAAAGTGCTTTAAAAAATAAAAAAGGTTTTAAAAAATGAAATCAATGACTAGAAAAAAAATTAAAAGGATCAAATTAAAATAAATTGAATTTTATTAATCAAATTAATTCTAAAAAATGAGTTGTATGAGAAAAACAAAAGTTAGGAACTGAATTGCAAAATGTAATAAATATAATAAAGGACTAAATTGAATTAATTGAAAATTCAGAGGCAAAATTGTAATAGGCAACCAAAATGAACTGCGCATCAAAGTCCAGGGAATGCGGAAATGATTTAACTTTCTTGTATTTACAAACTGGTCCTCTGTCTATATATACCCAAAACTAAAAAAAAAATCATTTTTAACCAAAAAAACAAAAGAGCTCTAAGAAAGCTCTCCCCCTTTTACTTCTCCGGCCAAACGTCGGCCACCTTTCGACTAAGCCTCCCGCTGCCAACCGCCACCGCTCTAGCGGTCGAAAAAAATCATACTACCCAAAACGTTCTCCTCAACCTCGGGATCACCGAACCGAAGCTAAAATCCTGCAAAAACACCCCAAATAACGTAGATTTATACCAAAATATTCGTTTTTTACCTTAGTTAGGCGGTGGCTTTTCGACTTCTAATGGCTTCCTCTTCTCCGACGAGGCTCCCTCGCACTTCTGCCGATTCTCGGTGTGGCAAAGCTTTGCCCTTTGGTTTCGATTTAGAGAATTTATGGCTTTATTTTTGTGAGGTTTTTTAGGCTTGGCTGTTTTCTGTTTTCGGCCGAATATGGCTTGGGTTTTTTCGTAGTTTTTTGCTATATTTTTTAATGTGGCTTTGTTGTTTATTGATCTTTGGTTGCTCGTATTTTTGCTCGGTTTTCTCTATGGTCCCCTTTACTTGGCCTCACCGGTGGCTTTTATAGCCCCAAGTTTGGCTATTTTGAGTCCCAAGATGGACGGGATTTGTGTGGGTTTGTGATTTTCTGGGTTGTTCGTGTTTTGTTGGGTTAATCATTCCTATTTTGTCTCGAAACGTTTCTATATGCATGTTGTTCGGCTGAGATTTTCGGGATTGTTCAGTCCCGATCTCAACCGGTTATTGGCTTATGATTTTCACGCTTTACGCGTGACTTCCAGGCGCCGCATGTGCGACGCCATTTCTATATGATCTAGGGTTTAAAAACCCTCAATTTGGACCCTTGATTCATGTCTGATATGATGTCTGAGATGTGTGTGGCGCGCCTGGTTAATGTGTGCAAACCCTAATGAGCTTGTGGGATTGGTCATGCATGCATGCTTAAACGGGCTCACCTGCTTGGTCAGACTTGTGAGTTTGGCTGGGTCTTGATGCTAATCGGACTCTTCATTGCTGCCTTGGACTTAGACCTCTAAAAAAATGAAAAAAATAATATTAACAACAATATAATATGACATATATAATAAATAATAAATAATATAAATAATATGTATACTATATTTATTTTAGAAACATATATTATATTTACAAAAAAAAACCATTTTAAAAACTATGTACTATATGTTTTCATAAATATTTTAAAACTATATATTATATGTTTTCAAAAATACATTTTCAAAAACTATATTATATATATGTTTACCAAAACCAATTTTTTAAAAAACTATATATTATATTGCTTTCAAAAACTATTTTCTAAAAGTTATATATTATATGTTTTTCAAAAATATTTTTTAAGACTACAGTTGCCCCTCTATGTCCATTTTTCGTTCAACAAAAATAGGACAAAGATAAAAGGACACACATTTTCGTTCGGTATGAAGGGTCCTTGAGTCTAATATCCTCCCTTGTGGAGTTGAAATTTGACTCTAATATCGCAGTTAGGAATCCTTTGTCATGAAATTGAGTTAATCTTGGATGTTTCGAGCATGATATCCTTCGCTGTGAAGTTGAAATCTAGTTTGAAATCTGAACTGGAAAGTGGCTTCTTGTTACCAAATCGTAATCAACATTGATCTTCTTATTGGCTTAAAGACCTCCGTTCAACCGAAAAGTAGTTCCTTGTTGCTACCATGTGGTTGATACATCCTCGAACTGAATAGAATCGAACTCGAAAGTTTTTTGTTGACAGACAACTTTTCTCGACTTGAGCTATGATGTAAATTGGGCTGGGAGGTAGTTCCTTGTTGATGCAGATGACTCATTTGCTGTGAAGTTAAGTCGATCTATTGGGCATGATATCATTCGTCGTGAAGTTGAAATCGTAGGTGGCTCATTCATTGTGAAGTTGAGTTGATCTCTTGGGAACGATATCCTTCGTCGTGAACTTGAAATCGTGGGTGACTC